CAGTGGTCGGGCTTCTGGTGTTTTGATGCGATTTGTCAATTACAGGTTTCTCTTTTTTCAACTCTTCTCTCTTCTGTCCTCTTGAATCTGAAAGTAGAAGTACTCAGATCTTGTACTTGAGTAAAAGTAGAAGTACTCAGATCTTGTACTTGAGTAAAAGTAGAAGTACTCAGATCTTGTACTTGAGTAAAAGTAGAAGTACTCAGATCTTGTACTTGAGTAAAAGTACTCAGATCTTGTACTTGAGTGAAAGTAGAAGTACTCAGATCGTGTACTTGAGTAAAAGTACTCAGATCTTGTACTTGAGTGAAAGTAGAAGTACTCAGATCTTGTACCTGAGTAGAAGTAGAAGTACTCAGATCTTGTACTTGAGTAGAAGTAGAAGTACGCAGATCTTGTACTTGAGTAAAAGTACTCAGATCTTGTACTTGAGTGAAAGTAGAAGTACTCAGATCGTGTACTTGATTAAAAGTACTCAGATCTTGTACTTGAGTGAAAGTAGAAGTACTCAGATCTTGTACTTGAGTAAAAGTAGAAGTACTCAGATCTTGTACTTGAGTAAAAGTTCCTACTCTGTTACAGTAAATGTCCTGCATTCAAAATGTTCCTCAACTAAAAGTAGAAAAGTATCTCTGTCCTTTTATTAATATCTTTCATTTTCAAGAAAGAAATCCGCAGGTTTTTCTATATTATCGCCCTGAGGGGAGCAGGGAGGAGGTTATGTTTTTAATTTTTAATTCATACATCACATTTACAGTTTTTAACTTTAATATAAATACCACCATATTCAGACCACTTCATAAATGTGTTGCTCAGTTTAAAAACATTTAAAAGTCATTACAGGCCAGATAAACGACCCGGTCTCAGTGTAGTCCCACACGCACCCTGCAGAGGTCAGTGTGTGCAAACCTCTGGAACCTCTCTCACCTTTCCCTCCTGGCTGCACACACACTTAAATCTTATACTAAAGTGCAGCCCTGAGCCCAGAGGGACTCAGAGGAGACTCTGTACAGAGCACTCGTGTTGTAGGAAGGTTCAGATCCTCCAGTATTAACACCTGCTGACTTATCAAACACCATCAGCTCTGTGGCTTTGTGGACTTCCTGTTCATTTAATAATCTACACACTTTTTCATATTTTTTATAGGTTTTGGAGGAAATTGCTGACATCTCTGCGCATGTGTCTTCCTTTTTAAGGACATGCATGGACACTGACAAAGAACAGGCATTACTTAAAAACGTAATTAGAGCTAAAATAGAATAGACACCTTTGTTGTCCAGATGTACATTTGGCTTTGGCTTCACAGATATACATACACGGTAAAACATCCTCTGCCATGCGTTAGACTTAAAAGATGACACTACTATTCTACATAAACTAAAGCCCACCATTGTACCATCGTGTGTCTTACCCTACTTTCAGATCTGAATAATGTCTTCATTTTTTTTGCTACCATTTCAGTACAAAACCAGATAAGCCCAACTCCAGCTGCAGCGGCCTGTTATCTGTACGGGTTTCTGCTCCGAGTGCAGCACTGTGTTTGGCAGCACAGTAGTAAGTGCTGCTGTCGCTCAGTTGCAGCTCGCTGATGTGCAGAGAGAAGGTGTTTTTGGACGGATCGATAGAGGACACTTTGTTCCCTGCAGCCTGGTCGTACTCTTTAGTGAGGAACTGCACTGCAGCTCCAGGGCGGTCCTGCCGGTACCAGAGCATGGTGTAGCTGCTCATACCCAGCCCACCACCCATACTGCACTCAAAGGTCACATTCGACCCAGGCTGGGACATCTGATCTCCAGACTGAAGGACCACCGCAGTGAGACCTGCAGCACATGGAGGGTGACATGTTATAAGAACTTTAAAAAAAAGTATACGATGTGTGAATGTGAGAGAGGTAAACCCACCTGAGTGTAAAAGAAGCAACAAGTGAAGGACTGTGAGAAACATTTCAGTGTCATCGATGAGCCTTCCTCCAGCTGAATGAGGCTCACATCACTGCTCAGCACACACACACACACACACACACACACACACACACACACACACACACACACACACACACACACACACACACACACACACACACACACACACGATCACATAATTAAATATGAATCATCATTGATTCACTGATAATGAGTTATTCTGTCCTTTTTATTTTTAAGGTGGATGTTGTCAGAACTTTGCGGTGTTATTCAATCAATACATTTGAATTTTTTTTACCATTTAATATCACAGAAATAAAAAACAATGGTTAAATTACAACATTTTTGAAATAATTTTTTCGGTGAATTGTCAAATGAATAGCAGTGAATGCTGTCTTAATTAATCCATGATTGACACCTGCTGACCCTTGCTGGAACTTGATTGGTCAATCAAGTCGTTTTAAACTAACGTCGCCCCGCCCACTTTGTTACGTTTCCCAACTGAAGGTGTTGACCGTTAAACTCCTCTCTAGGTCAAATTAGGTTTTCATTGTTTTTTTACGTCAACAAAAACCGTTTAAACAGTTACTACAGTTTATGTCGCATTTCATGAAACCAGTTCACTGCCAACAATTCATTATTTCCTGTTTTAGGGACGCCATGAACTAGAGTTTACTCTGCTCGGAGATGCTGTTGCTAGGCTACGGATTGCCGGTTGGTCCACCTCAAATCAACGGTTAGACACTTGAAGACTGAACTTGGGTTTCCTGTCCTTTTGTGACTCTTCCCAAGGACTTAACTCCTCTCTAAAATGCTGGAAGATACTGCTTACATCGACCATGGTAAGACTTTTGTTTGCTGTGCTAGTAAATATGTAACCTTAGTTGATTTGTAAGAGGCCCCGTCTCAGGTCGGTTAAATGAAATCCTTGCTTCCCTCACTTGCGTCGTTTCCCTGTGTTTAGTCCCTCCCTCCAGGGAAGCATGGAGGGACGCAAGGAAACCACGAGAAGCAGGGAAATGAGTTTTAAGAGCAATAGGACGTCCTTTCCTCCGGAGCGTCACGTGAAGCGACGTCCGTTTGTGATGACGCCGCACAGCTTCTTCTTCTTCTTCTTCTCTTTTTTAATGGCGGGTCGCAAACAGCTTTTGGTTGCATACCGCCACCTACTGTACACGAGTGTGTATCATCATGTCAATCCTCTAATAAATCAGCATATCAAAAAGAAAACCATAAACCATAAAATAAAATAAAATAAATAAAACAAAAAACAAATCATCCATGTTCTACTGTTAAATTCTTTTCCCTATCCCAGTTTCCCTCAAAAAGGTGAACAGTGCTTTTCTGATAGCTCTTACTCCTTCTCCTTCTGTTCCCAGAATACCCGCTACATTCCACTCCCTCTCTGCCTCTAAAACTGTATCCCTTAATTTCCCTCTTTCAACTCTATAGGTGACACAATG